TGTGGTGATTTCCATGGTGCCCGGAGCACCAGAAGTGTCGAAGGTCTATCTCGACGTTGGAGATGGCATCATTTCCGCTCCCAAAAACCCACAAAGACTGTTGATTGAGTGTAGTACTATTGATACTACCACCGCAAGGCACGTGGCAGATCAGATACGAAAGGCTTCTCAAGGGACATATGTTGATGCCCCTGTTTCCGTGAGTATTCCTTCCCAACATGTATGACTCCATAAAGTACATTTGAGCCATCAATGGCAACGACGCTTTCTGACTCCAACTTGCCCCAGGGAGGCGTACCAGCAGCGGAAAAGGCGACTCTCTCATTCATGATCGGACGCAAACCTGATGATAAGGAAGATCACTTATCTCAAAGACTACGTCAGGTAGTTTCGATGATGGGCGACCCTGAAAAGCTCTTCTGGTGCGGTGACGTTGGTTCGGGACTTGCTGCTAAGATCAGCAACAACTACATCTCCTGCTCTGTTCTACTTCTGATATCTGAAGCTATGGCAATCGGAGTAAAGTCTGGAGTGGATCCAAAGATGCTTCAGACAATTATTCACAATTCTACCGGTCAAACATTCATGGGAGATAATGTCTGTCCAGTCCCTGGCGTCATCCCACATGCCCCTAGTAGTAATAACTGGAGGCTGGGGTTCAAGACTCAGATGTTTCTCAAGGATCTGTCTCTGGGCATCGATGCTGCAAAACAGGAGAAGATCCAGCCGACGATGGCAGAAGCGGCCTATGAAGTATTTGAAAAAGCCTCCAAGGACCCCCGCTGTATCGTAAGTGAAACGTGACGTATATACTAGAAGTGAGCCAACTAACGTTCTCTCCAGGATCGTGACGGCTCCTCGGTCTACCTTTACGTCACAGACTCAAAGACTTAATTTGGATTGTGGATAGAAAATATCAGGAAATGGGGACTTCAGGCTCTTAGCTAAATACATGTAGTGTACCTAAATATTGAGCCTATGTTATCTCCGAGGAAACGTACGTTTGACAACCTGAGCTCAGGATTCAAACCTTTTTGAGCCTAGAGAAATATCCATGACTTCTATCGTAATCATCGTTCTAGGATATGATAACCATCCAGCACAAGATCATATGTGGAGCATCTATTAATAGTTGAGAAATAGCCGTATTTTCCAAGCTCTTTGATAAGCGAATGACTAGCATCTCAAATCTAAAGTTCTTCTAGAAAGTCCCTAATCTTTGAAATACAATCCTCTGCAGCCTCAGCGTATATTTCGTGCCCTTGAGACTCAATGATTGCTAGTTTCGATGAGGCGACCTCTGCAGTCAGCTTCTTCATGGACTCAACGCTTACAAGAGCACTGTTTGTAGGCGATAAAATCAACATAGGAGCTTTGATGTCCCCCAAGTATGGCTGAGCGTCCAGCTGGCTCAAGAACTCAGCATATCCTGCCAGCCCCTCTCCGTCACTGACAGCAACCTTGTCCTTCCACCATGCGAGATAGTTGGGATCACTGCTCGCCACAGTGCCACTCGCACCAAGAAGTCGTTCTGCCCAACCTCTTGATCCCAGTTGGCGGCATGCCTGGGGCCAAGACTCCAGACCAAAAGCAAGAAACTCCTGTGCCGAGGCCGGCAAATGGGTTGGTGATGAACACACAATGATAGAGCTTACGCGTTCTGGGTATGTTGCCGCAAATATTTCTGCGAGCATACCACTCGTCGACTCTCCAACAAAGTGTATCTTCTCAATGTTCAACTGATCCAAGGTGTCTTTGATTTCATCCACAATCGTGGTGGTTGTGTATTGGTAGACCTCGTCGTCATCGGGGCCTGGGTAGCTTGAGCCGCCATGGCCTCGAAGATCGCGACGCAAGACATTGTACTTTCTAGCTAGGGCTGGAACCCAATGATAGAAGTGGTCTAAGGTTCGACCGAAACCATGTTGAAGTAGTATGGTCTCAGCTGGTTTCCAAGGATCAACAAAAGAGTCGAGAATGTATGCAGTTGTTTGTCCATTCGAGTGACGAATAATTTTCCGATTGCCAGCGTCCATGATTGATGTGCGAGAACTAAGAGTGGGTTTCGAAAGAGTCAGGTAGCGGCACGGCTCTAAAGTACGCTGTTCCACGTACAGGGGACAAAGACCAAGAGAGTGCCTGCCATGAGCAGAGAGGCATCAATAAGGTATCCCAAAAGCAAGTGATAATGACAGCCCTTGTTATCTTACTGCCATGGCTTAGCCACATGGCATACCCCGTATGCCTGGTAGTAGTACCATGTGGGGTAACGGGCAGATCAAATGGTCTCCTAGCGATGCGTTGTTGAGATCTTGCGGGGTAAGGTTTCGGGGAGCATGGTCGAAGCTGGGCAGCATGGCTTAGCTAGCGGATGCGATACGGACTCCGGACACAGAACTTAGAGGTCGAGCATACACACAATGAGTGAAGTCACTCTCGAGTGCGTGACCGGCCTGGATTTATACTAGCAAATGGGTTGTGGGGTGCGAAGACGACATAAATTTGCCTACCTGCAGCTATTTGCAAAAAAGATCAACCTGAACCTCGATCCAGCAAGAATTGTTACATCTCATGTGGCTTTCTTTCGGAAGTTCTTCCAGGTAAGTGTTTCAGTATAGAGCCTAGGTCATCTGTACCTTTTCAAATGTGTTGACTTTGCCGGCCAAAGACTTAGGTACTAAACTCCAGCCGCCACTGAAAACTCAAGTGTTAGTGTCTTTGGTACTGCCCATTCGAACAATTTCCCATGGAGAATAGGAGCTTTAACCTTATACGTAGCCTTGGCAGCTACTTTGGACAGCTATTACGCAACACCATTCACCATCATTTCTTTTCCTACTTCAAGCTGTCCGAGACACGGATCAGGCATTCGCAAATTACAATGGATCGAAGTAACTCGGCTTTCACTCTCACACCATGGATCTCTGTTCTCCTCCTCTTCCTCGTCATCCTCATTTGGGCCTCAGTAGATGTTATCACAGAGACATTCTCGTCTCTTCGGAAGCTGCCTGGTCCATTCGAGGCTCGCTTCTCAAGACTCTGGTATTTTCGACATGTGAGAGACGGAAACTTTCATCATCGCAATATTCAGCTCCATGAGAAATACGGTATGTGATCTTTATTCCCGGGTGTGACTATTAGAGCCTTTTGCTTACAAGATGATTCGCCTGACAGGAGCCATAGTGCGGATTGCTCCTAAACAGTATAGTATTAATGACCCGGCCGTAATCAAGACGATTTATGGTATTGGAAAGGGCTTTATCAAGGCACGTATCATGGAGACCATGGAGTGATTTTGCCTTACTGACATAATTCGCTTCTTAGTCCGCATGGTACGAGGCCTCAAGTCCAGTCGGTCTTCCCTGGCAAGACCTCTTCACGGATCGAGATGGTGCACGTCATGCTGCAAATCGGCGTCTCGTGGCGAACCTTTACTCTGTCACCTCTCTTAGAGCAATGGAGCCCGATGTCGAAGACTGTTTGAGAGTCTTTGTGAAGCAACTTGGAGACTTGAGTCAGACTCAAAATCCCATCGACCTTCAGTTTTGGATGCAGTGTTATGCATTCGATGTTGTCAGTCAAATCACAGTAAGTCTCTCCGTAAACTTGTCTCATTCGTAGTCCTGTCACACATACTCACCCACTCCATATAGCTTGGACAAAGATTTGGATGCCTTGATACAGGAAGCGATCGACTGGGAATCTTCGCTAGTCAACACGTTTACCTCAAGTACTGCGCTATGGTGGGAATAGAACACGAGGTACATGGAACCCTCGACTGGATACTGTCCAAACTCCCACCAGGACAGCTGATGAATGGGGTCAACTTCACCGCCGAGCAGCTGAAAAAGGGCAGAGTCCGGTTTGACATGGAAAAGGGGAGCCCAGACAGACAAGACTTCATGTCCAAGCTCTTCCGTCTACACCACGAAAATCCCGGAAAGTTCCCAGAAAGCGCGGTCTTTACGACCTGTATGACCAACATTGGAGCTGGCTCTGACACAACTTCGATATCACTGTGCGCTGTTATCTATGACCTTGCGTCCCACCCCAGGGTGCTTCAAAGGGTACCTGACCGACTCTTTATGAGCGGAGAGATACTCTCCGCATAGCTTGAATGATCTTTCTAATAATCATCACAGCTTCGGGAAGATATCGACGCCAAATTCGCAGAGCTAGACAACCCTGAGTTCATCCCTTTCAAAGACGCCCAAGCTATGAGCTATCTCCAGGCTTGCATCAAGGAGTCACTCAGACTACATCCAGCAACAGGTCTTCCGCTAGCCCGTGTTGTCCCTAAAGGTGGCGTGAATCTTCTTGGCAGAGACTTCAACGAGGGTGTAAGTTCCATTACCACAGCCTTGATGAGACAAGTTGGTAGATATAACTGACCGAAATGACTGTAGTGCGTTGTAGGCGTGAATACTTGGGTCTTGCACCGGAATAAGGATGTTTTCGGTGCTGATGCCGATGAATACCGCCCTGACAGGTGGTTTAGTCAGGACAAAGAACACATTTCTCTCATGGAATCGAATTGGATACCGGTGAGTCGAATTTTCGCTGAATTTCCCCGGGTCATTACTGATCGATCGTCTCTAGTTCGGGGTAGGTTCTCGTACCTGCATTGGGAAAAACATCAGCTTGCTGGAAATCAACAAGCTTGTGCCCATCTTGGTCAAGACCTTTGACTTCACACCCGTGGAGCCGGAAAGAATCCGGCATGAGAACTACTGGTTGGTTAAACAGGTCGATATGTTATGCAAAGTTTCACCGAGAAGTCCCTAGTAAGGCACATGTAGTTTTTGTGAGGTGCTTCTCATGGGCAAAGAGGACATATATCCACATAGGGCTCAGAGAAAGGAGTTGAACATCAGGCAAGTCGTTATATTTTTCTATTTCCTAGCTGGTCATAATATCAACGCCCACTGTGAATCTTGCTGATATGTCTTGAGTGTGCATGGTAATTGATTTTGAATTTTCGGTTCATTTTCCTGATAATGCTACAATAGTAGTACAATGATTGCAAAGAAAATCGCAGAAAAGAGCGTCCATTGATCTCCAAGAGGTCTGCCATTCCCCCCACTCCCAACACGCTCAATGAGCTTATTCCCAAGATCTGAGATGCTGCTTTGGAAGTCCTCGTAATTTGACGCAGTCCAGTTTGCCCCCCTTGCTCCAGGGACAGCGTCATCGCCCGTGAAGGCAATATATAGGACATCATTGTCATCATGTCCTGAGTTGCCATTGATACTATTGCCGTAGCACGCAGTGGCGAGTGATATGGAAGCCTCACCTACCATGGCTTGAGGCCCATCATCACCATTTGTATCTCCCCAGATTCCATACATCTACATAAGATGGGTTAGAGTAGGAATTCAAGTAAATTAGCAGTAGACCTACCAATTTGTTATTGCACACGACAGCCATCACGCTGAGTGGTTTGACGCCATGCTTTTCTGGGTTGAATGTAGGCCAGCCGCTTCTAGTACCTTCATTTCCGAATACAACATAGGTGTGTACCGAGGCGTTGAGGTCTCGTCGCCCAGTCCCGTAACTCCTCAGCTGGTCGCGGAATGTCGTCTCAGATTGAGTGTCGGTGGAGCTGCCGCAACGTCCGTCGCCTCCGGCTTGCTCGCCATCGCAGTCCACGTCCATGTTGGCCAACTCGCCATTTTTCCCTTGGAGATATATGATTTTGTAATCATCCAGGTAGTCTCCGCAGTAGCTGAAATCTAATGAATGAATTTCGTGAGCATTTTTGGAGCATGAGCCGTTGAGGGGATGAAGCACGTACCTCCGCTGTCACCCTCACTGCTGTGAAACCCGCTTGCTAACGTATGATGGCACTTGTTCCGCCCGCGGACGAACCCATAGAAGTCTTTAACATTGTTCGGAATATCGCGTGACAACGCTTGTGTCGCTAGAAACATGAAAAGAAGGAAGACGCCGCCTAATGAGACCATGATGACTCTAATGATGGCCGCCGATGAGCCTGAAGAGAAATGGATGAGGTGAGACGGGATGCTCGGGTCGGGGGCAGGGAATCGTGAGCGACGAGTCGCGCTTTGGTCTCCACGTGATCCACGGAGTCCTGCAGCGCCATTCAAAGCACTAGTTGTGCACAGCCCTCATTTTAGACGCTCTGAAATGAACACGAGCACGCTGGGGGCTCTTGGCCAAGTCTCAAGCGTCTTGACCGGGGCTGAGAGAAGCAATGATGGGATGACGCGCGATTGACAGCCAGGCATCAATACTCTGTTGAAAATCGAAGGATTCATGGTTCTCAGCCATGTCTGGTCTGTGTGCGACAGGCGTTCAGCCACCCATGGAAATGAGGCGCAATATGACTGAGACTTAAAATCCGGCCCGCTCCGAATGGCTTTCTGTCATTGTTCAACTCAGGCCCAACTTAATCGGAGCGCTGACCGTGGAGAAAGACAGCGCTTATTTAAGCCTAAAATTAAGGTGCCCCAATGCCTCAAATGGCTTAGTGTCAACGAAAGAAATGGCATCGATGATTGAGGTCGAATGACATATGCAACTCACCATATCTTGAGCTGCCACCCAGGCAAATCGCGTCTCTCACATTTTGGCTCAATCGTCTCGACTCATTATTTTACGAGAATCAGAAACCATCTCACATTGGGGATGACTGTGCTTCGTTGTGTGAAATATGGCTCGACAGGGCGATTCGAGGGCGAAAGTCCAAAGGTGTCTGAATGTCTTGTGGTCGCAAAATCCACGGTGTTAATCGTGGCAGCAACCAACGCCATGTATACCCTACGACATCTGTAACACATATGGGAATGAAAAGACCTAGATCTCATCAAAGATAACCTTTTGCACGAAGTATGGCTGCATGAAGCTGCATCATGATTCGGTATCGATACGTCGTCCAAGGTGAAACTGTGAATCTGCTGGCAATTATTATCAGCGAGTCTCGAACAACTAAATCCAGTCAGCTTCCAGAAGTTCCATCTTGTGTCACGCTGTCATCAGCTCACATCTGCCTGCTCCAACAAAACGGCCTCTTAGCCTGTGCTGTAAGTCAATGAAATTGGCGTACGTTCGACCGGATTATATCCGGCTTTGATGCACTTCAGTGCAGACAAGAATGCCCTTCCTGTGTTGGTGTTATGGTGGACATGCTGCTGCCCATACTAGTGCCCGTCATAACTCATATTGGTTGGAACAAACATCATCAGCAAGCACGATACTCCACTGTCACAGTGCCGCAGACCTGCATTATCCTGCTTGGCCAAGATGAGGGGTAAGTTCACTTGGACATCTGGAGACATAAATGAGCACAGATTGTTCTTCCTCTCTGAGAGAACCTTTGGCCAGCTTATGGTTCAATCTTCATACATCATGGCTGACTCTCAGAGAACCACTGTAGCTCAAGAGAGCGCTGTGGGCACTGCTCCTTCACCATCTGCCAACAACCTGGAGCCTGCTCGTAGCACCGGCCACGATATTGCAATCAATCACGGCCCCATTCTAGAGGCCGAAGCAGAGAACAGCGACGTGAGAAATACCATGAAATTTCTTAGAATGAAGTCGCTGACCCTGCTTCATAGTTAACAGACGACGATGCCTCGGACAGAGCGACAGTAAGCAAGATTTCTCGCTGAAACGTTCTCATATAAAAGTGATCTTCTGACTTGCTGTAGAGTGTGGCATCTTCAAGCACAAGCTTGTCCAGCTCGATTCTTCAGCATCGCTTGGAGAATGGAAGAACTTACCACAAATACAAAGACGGAAGTGAGCAACCATCTTCAAATTGAATCTGCCAGGCATCGAATCCAATTGCAGTGGAATTTACTTACAAAACTAGAATATCTTTTCCCCAACGACGAAAGAGAGAACGACAGGCTTGGTTTGTAGCCCGAGGAACAATTGGCAGTCTGGATACTAAAGATGTTCGTAGATTTGCAGCATAACCTTTATCTGTTGACGCTGGAATATAAGCTGGGTCTTGCTCCCCCGAACAACGAAAATTCAGGCGTTAAGCGCGTCCTGGACATTGGGACAGGCACGGGACTCTGGGCTATCGAATTCGCCGATGAACATCCCGAGGCTGAGGTGGGCTCAGCTTCTTCCCCTGGCGAGATGATCTTAAACTCAAGTGTTCGCAGGTTCTAGGGGTCGATCTTACTCCGGTACAGACTCAATTGTATGGGTCTGCTGTTTTCTTAGATTATTTTATTCACTAATTGGTTTACAGTGTTCCGCCGAATCTAAAATTTGAAGTTGACGACATTGAACAACCCTGGACATTCAGCCAGCCTTTCGACTATATACACATTCGTGGCATGACCTCTAGTGTCTCTGACTGGCACGCATTCTTCAAGCAAGCATACAAGTATGCGTTTTCTTGTTTCCTCGTTACAATTAACTAATCCTCTGCAGCGGCCTTACTCCCGGTGGTTATATCGAACTATTCGAAGGTCATGCGCGCACACAGTCGGACGATGGGTCGTTGACTCCTAATCACGCATTCTGGCAGTGGGCAGACAAGCTAGACGAGTGCTGCAAGATCCTCGGTCGTCCATTTGTCCATGTTCCGAGTCTTGTTCCTATCCTTGAGCAAGCGGGTTTTGTCGATGTGACCATCGTTCCGTTCAAGTGGCCCATCGGCCCGTGGGCAAAAGATCCATATTACAAAGAACTTGGGGTGTGGGCTCTTGAGAATGCCTCCGAGGGCCTCGAAGCTTGGACAATGGCAGCACTGACTAGGGCGCTCGACTGGAGCAATGCAGAGGTGCAAACTTTTCTGGCTCAAGTTAGGAAGGACCTGAAAGACCGAAGCATCCACCACTACTGTCCTTTGTAAGTCACATCCTCTTCTTAATCTTTCTAGACTCAGGGGTCTTTTCGCTATCTTTTCTTTGCAGATCTGAACTCCAACTTGGTCCATATGCAAGTGTATGATGTTAACATCGAACAGATGGGTGATTTATGGCAAAAAGCCATTGTAAAAGGCTTAGGGATTGAAAATGCTGTCGGGATTTCATTTCAGAGCTAGGGCTGTTCTTTCAAAGTACGTATGAACAATCACAATTGATAGTGGTTTCGTGCTCGATCCCTACAAGACTTCGTGAATGGTGTATTAGTTGCCGTATATCACCGTCAGGACCAAGTTTTCATTTGACATGAACCAGAAAGAAGGCGCTAAATCATCGAACACCTATAATTCAAATTGAAAGTGCAATTTGAACCCGGTCGGATATGCAAGTCAGACTAGCGCCAAGCGCTGTTGCTCCGATTTCTCAAGGCATCGCGGCATCGATTCGGGATCAGGCTACCAACCATTTATCCGTGATGCAATGCAGCCCACAGGCCAACAACTCAACCAATGAAGTGAAGCCGCAAATGCAGGCCTCGGAGTGCGACATAGGTAAGACACGACCCATGGGCTTGCAGCTTAATTTGGCAGCTGAGAGCATGGTGTCTAAAGAGAGAGCCTGATCAAAAATTCGACGAGAGCCTTATTCCCTGCTCTCCCCAACGATCTGCTTCTGTCCCTCTTTTCCCTTCATCATTTTGTCGATTTTGCTGTCATGTAGATCTCGAAACGGTATGGAAGGGATGAGCACTCCTTCAAATCAACGAACATGGCTGTATTCGATGCAGACCCAGAGGGGTGCGCAATCATTCCACTACTTGCTGATTACCGTATTTTCCACTGGACTAATTCTTTCTAGAATCGCACCAGTTGTGCGACCAGCCGCTGTGCTCGACGATCAAAATGAAACACCGATCGAGTCATCTACGACGACCGCAACATTGCCTGAGATAGCTCCGAACCAGACCGCACATGAGATTGACCGCCGCGATGCGGACCCTGTAGTCCCAGAGCAAAGAGCCGAAAGTTTTCAAGCCCAGCAGTTTGCAGACAAAACCACCTTGTCAGGGTGGTTTCCCCAAATAAGAAGTGACGAAAATAGCAGTTGGCGCATATGGTTTTCACGAAGAAGTCGTGCTCTCATGGTCCAGATTGGGATTATCGGCTTCATCCTGATGACAAATCTCGGTGTGACTATTTTTGCTGTCAAAAGCTACGGAAGCCGTAATGGTGTCGGGTTGATATACGAAGGCGACTGCTCAACCGTGAAAAGGCTTGACCAATGGTTGCATTTGCTCATCAATTTGTTGGGAACAGGCATGCTGTCGGCTTCAAATTATTGCATGCAACTGCAGGCTGCGCCAACACGCGAGAACGTGAATGCTGCTCATGCGAAACACAAGTGGCTGGACATTGGCATTCCTAGCCTTCGAAATCTAAAATATCTCAGCATGTGGAGGCGATGTTCGTGGGCATTGTTGGCCTTGACCTCTATTCCTATTCATCTCATGTAAGAAAGCTCCAGTGCCTTTGCTTTTCGAGACATTCAGTCATCCGCTCACACCTGCAACGTGAAGATACAACTCGGCTGTGTTCCAGTCACTTTCATCTCACAATTACACCGTTGTCGTTGTCAAAGATTCCTTTTTGAACAATGCTTCATGGAGCTTGAAAACAGCAGAGGACAATCGAGCCGGCGACTACGGCTGGGAAGACACCCGAGTCAACCCCTCAAACCTAGACTACGAAGAAGTAGTAAGAGCCATACAGAGGAATGCATCCATCTATGAAGAACGCAACATTTCAGCATGTTTCGACTTGTATGACGACTACTTCAGTCCCCAAGGAAACGCGATCATTCTAGTCAAGAATGAAACTTTACAGAGCCCGCCAGAGGACAGTCTGCTCATGTATGTTTCCATCGTCCCTCGTTCAGACGACTGGTCCAAGAACATGTGGGCTCTAGGTAATGGCACTGGTCACTTTGCAGCTTTGTCACCACCAAAACCCGTGACTAAATGGTTCCTTGGGCCTCCATATTACGAGGTGTCACGATGTATCGTTCAGCCGCCAGAAGGGCTCAGCGCAAACTGTCGATTCGAATATTCGCCTCCCATCATGTTCACTATTTGCATCATGAACATGATTAAAGCGGCCATCATGCTATCAATATGGGCTCTGAGGAGATGGCAGAATCCCAGAAAGGAAAATCAGGCGAAGGAGGTCTTATACACCTTGGGCGATGCCATAGCCTCTTTCATGCGGGAACCATGCAAGCAAACTGTCGATATGGGACTTGCGACAAAGTACGACTTCTTGACTACACGAACTTTGCGCAACCGTTTTATTAGATCTTCCCCAACGATATTCCAAAAAAGACCTCAGCCGCGGGCTTTTGAAAAGAACCCAAAGCAGTGGAGATCCTCTGCAAGCCTAAGACGTTGGGTCATCATGCTGGCCATGTAGGAACACTGACTTTTTGCTTTCTGATACTGAATTCACTGACTTGCTTTTCCTCAGGTGTCTTCTTGTAATCATAATCGCAGCTGTACTTTTGACAATGTCATTCGTAAGCCTAAGACAAAGAGGTTTCGGTGTAAAGATACCACAGCTGTGGAAGCTAGGCTTTGGAGCCTTGACGCCTTACACCTACTTGGTGATTAATATGCCTCGTACAGACCCAGGAGGGTTGATAGCTAATGTGCTATTGGCCAACTTGCCTCAACTCGTCCTGTCGATCTTGTACATCGTCTACAATACTATGCTGAGCACCTTTTTAGTCCAAAGGGAGTTCAGTCGCATGTGGGATCCGGGCAATAGGAAGCCGTTGAGAGTTTCCGAACCAATAGGGATCCAACGATCAAGTTACTTCATTTCCCTGCCCTTGAGATATGGGATTCCGCTTTATGCTAGCTCGGGCATCATGCATTGGCTGGTGTCACAGAGCCTTTTCTTGGCACGAATTCGAGCCATAACCACAGATGGGAGTGACGATGATGTCAACTCTTTCTCGACATGTGGCTATAGTCCTATAGCTGTGTTTGTCAGTAAGTCGACCTCCATTGCCATTCATTACTCTCGAATGTGCCTGTGGTTTCTGACCTAGAGGCTTAGCATTGCTTGCGGGGCTCCTTCTCGTCATCATTATCATCGGTATGGGGCTGCGACGCTATGATGGCACAATGCCAATGGTGTCGACCAATAGTCTGGCAATAAGTGCTGCTTGTCACGTCCTGCGGGAAGATCAGGATGGCGGCTATCTGCTACCTGTTCAGTGGGGAGTTCTCAGTATGACTGGGGGCGTTGGGAAGTGTGCTTTCACTACAGCGGCGGTCAACACGGTCAAGCTCCCAGAGAAAGGCCCAGATCGAGTCTACAAGTGATGGTGTGAGGGTCTTGAGGGCCCTGACTGATCAACTAATAAGCCCCGAATGCGAAGTCAGGGTCCAGGCCTTGAACCCAAATCAAGCTTGTTCTCGATGGGCTGGACTTCACATAATGTAATTTCAAGCTTTAATCAACACCACACTGCCTGAATTTCATACCATTAAGTTCAGCGTGGGCGAACTGTGGTTCAGGCCAGGGGCAAAAAAAACAGCATTGCATATCCAACCCAAAGTCACTACTCAATCCCCGTGTCGGAAAGCTGCAAATGTAACCTAGAGTGTAACCAAACTAATACGGAGCATTTAATGAGACAGTTGGCGCATTCAGGGGCTCTAAAGGAGATTGATGATCATACGTCGGGATTCCTCACTCAGGTCAGCTACCAATGGCTGGCGTGTACATCTTGGACGACGTGTAAGTGATGTCGTCGGATGATCTCAAACTGCCATACTCGGAGACAAGTTGGGTGAATCATCAACCTACGGGATTCTGCATTCGGTCCGTGCTTAGTTGTTCAGTCATATCCATGCCCACCGCATTGCAAGGCGGAGTCTAGCTTCAAGTAGCTCTGCTGACACATCGACACTCAGCACAACGAGACTTTATCTGATGAATGGACGAATTTCTCAACAGATGAGGTCCCGCATGAAATATCTGGCAAACTTTCTCCGATGGGATCGCGAAAGTTTGGGCCGGTGGCGTGCTCACGTGCTTAAATCCTAAGCTGCAAACTCCACACCAGCCGAACGCGATGACCAAAGGACCATGACCTCAGCGTGAACTATCGAGGCCTGGATCTCGTGTGGGTTTCTGATGCTGTACGAGGACGAGGGCTGGAAAACTCACATGGTGAGGTTGAGCAACAGGGCCTCCCGTGGTATTCACCGACATGTGCCCAGCTCGTAGGATGCCATCCAGCCGCAACGGGGCTGGGCTGGCATAGTTGGTCACGACCTCATTCTTCCCACATTGCCGCCTCATGCTGCTCGGTCTCGCTTCCTTCCTCTACTGCACTGCCTCAGATGATGAGTCCTACATGAACCTCAATCTCGGTGTCGAGTGTAATCTCTCATACGGAAATGGATTCTGGAGTGCTGGTAGCGCTTGCTGACAACCGAAGTTGCCGGTTGATAGAAAGAGTCTTTCGGGTAGTGCAGATCATGGTGTTGACGTCTGCCAAGTCAACTCAAAGTTGACATTCTTGCCTTTGTTTATAGGTGTGGAGGGGCTCGGTGACATTTTGCAGAGCAGTTCGGAGGTCCGAGCCAACTCAATTAGACTGTGAACAGTTTACGCGGCCACCAGTTGAGCTTCGGGACATGAAACAAGCGGGTAGGAATCACAATGTATGTTAAGTGGAGAGCCATTCAACTACTGTAAATCAAGAAAGTTCATGTGGTTTATGCCGCCTACCTCATGGTGTGACTAAGACCTATCGAAATAATCATCGACTTACGAAGCTGCCAGAGGGCGAACCTGCGGCAAAATTTGGTCCCCTCAATTGGCCTGCTTCAGCCTCTCTTGACGGCAGTAAGCGGTCTACTCCGCATCTAGACCTGATTAATCGGCATGAAACCGAGCTCTAGCTTTCGGATCCTGAAAATTAGATTATAAGCGACTTATTGTGTTACGTAATAGGGATAGTAATCGCACCTCACGAAGTGCCCATTACGTACTAAATCACGTATCTATCTTAGACATTATATATATAGACCTTTTCCTTTTATTTATTTTTATTTTAATAATTAAGTTACTTTTACTATACTCCGTATACTTATTATTACGTACTATAACTCGTAATAATTATAAGCCTAGCTTTTAGTTAAGACCCTATATTATAATAACGTATTTATTAATATAATTCTTACGATCTTTTTAAAATAACCGACTTACTTATACCTACTTTAACTTAAGCTAAATTAATTAGCTATAATAATTAAATTAAATAGTTTAACGTACTTCGTATTATAAATAAGAGCGTTAGGGTTTAGAAATACGTCGACTTAAACGCTCTAAACTCCGACGTATTCCTTAACCCCTTTATAGTACTTATTTTACCCTTTAAATTTAAATAATTAATTACGACTTATAATAAAAAAAAACTACGAGCCTACTAAGCTTATTATAAAGCGTTTAAAAATAACTAAAAAAACTAAAAAATCCTCTACTAGTAATTTCTAAATATAACTCCTAATACGAACTTTTTAACTTTTTTAAGTATAAGTAACTTATAGGACTAAGCTAAGTTTCTTTTTATAAAGTTAGTTATACTACTTACTTTATATAGATAAATCTATCCCTATACCGTATTTATAAAGAGGATCTATATACTTAAAAGTATTTAAAAATAATAAAAGCTTAATACTAAATATAAATAACTTATAGCTTATAAACGTAATACTATTAATATATATATTAAAGTCCTTACTTAGTAATTAGTAAAATTAGTTAACGCTATATTATATAAATACGTATTTTAAAAAGCTATTAAAAACGGCGCTAAGTTTAGTATATAATAAATTATTAAATATTTAAAATAAGAATTTATACCCCCCGAACTAATAATAAGGAATATAGTTCGAAAGGAATATTAATAAGCCCTTAATAAAGCGAGGACTAGAATTAACCCTTAACGCTAATATAAAAAGTAGTAGTTTACTTATTTCTAAGCTAAAATATATAATATTTTAGAAATTAGTAAAAAGATCGCCGTACTTAACTTCTTAATTATAGTTAAGTCTAAACTTAACCCTATATAAGGCTAATATATATATAAAACCTTTAGTAAATTAATAGCTTTTAGAACGTATATAAGGACCCTCGAGGAAATTATATATATATTTAGCTTAATAACTTAGGATATATATATTAAACGACTTTTAAGTTAAAAAGGGGCTTACTTTACTTTTACTAAACGCTCTAACTTAGTTAATAATATAAATAATAAGGGTAACGTTATATACCCTTATAATCGTATATACCCATAGCGCCCTACAGTATACTAAAAATTAAAATAGGTATTTATAAGTTAAAACGCTAATAAGTTATTAATATAAATACTAAGGAGCTATATAGAAAAAGTCCTCGCTACTATTAAATTAAGTAAATAGAAATTACTCTATAATAAGCTTAAAAAAGCTAGTTAGTTAAGGAATAATAATACCCCTAAGAAACTTAGGTTTTTAAAAAGATTCTCTAACTAACTTATAACGAGCTTATTAATAAACTAGAACGAGGGCTACGTAATTACTATATTTATAAAAAGTTAGGACTTAAAAATAAACGTAATTTTTAGTACCCCTATAAGTAGCGCTTACCCCCTTTTTTAGAATATAGTAATAAATAGCTATAAAATAATATATTTAATTAATAATAAGAGCCTACTTAAACCTAAGAGTTACGTACTATTAGGTAATAATAACTACGTTAAATTAAGAACTACTATACTACTTATTACTATATATAATACTCGTATTATAAAGGATATTTTAAATAGACTTAAAGAAAAGGGAACTTACGATCTAAAGCTCTAAAACGTCGCTTATATTAAGGGATTCTATATTAATATAGTTTTAAAAACTCTATTAAATAAAAGCGTACTTTAGTATTATAATTTAAATTATACTTTATAATAGGGAACGCTTTATAAAAGTACTATTAAAAAATAGCTTATCTAAAAAAATAATCTAATCTTTTTTAAATATAAGCTCCTCTAATCCTATCCTTTTTTTATAAACCTTAAACATATTTTATAAAACCTAACTAGTATTATATTACTAATTAACTATAAAAAATTTTATTATTTATATTAACGTACCTATAAGAGGTCTAATAATACGCTCCTCTAGTACTTTAAAATAGATTATCTAGGACCTAATATTCTTTATTAATTACTATATAAAACTTAAAGTATATATATTAAACCTCTATTATAAGTTAAGTATAAAGTATATGTATTATCTAAAGCTAAAATAATAATCTTAAGAGGGCTACCCTTAAAAAGAGCCTTACGGCTATAGTACTATATATATTAAGATCTCTTCTATTTTAAACTATTTCTAAATAAATAATAATATATACTTATAACTTTTAACGAATATAATAAGTAGCTTAGGGAGTTCTCTTTAAGAACTAAAATAAAAAAAAAAGTGCTTTTCGTACTATAAAGCCTCGAAGTAATAATTTATTATTAAAAAGGGACCCCAATTTACTTCTTTAAAAATAATAATAAGACCGCCCTCCTAATTATAAATATTAAATACGTATATAAGACGTAATATAGCGAGCTAGGAATCGGAATAGAACTTCTACCTCTATATATAAAAGAACCCGTAAATAATACTAAAAGAGTAAGTTAACTCGTAATTACTAAAGCTTATAAAATATACCTTTTTATAAACCTCCTTATAAATTTATAAAACGAAATAGTACTAATAGCAATTTTTATTTATAATGTTACCCTATAAGAGGCTAATAAAGGAGATTTACTTATTATAATAAAAATTAATTAGTAAAAGCGGTATTAATACTAATAATAAACGGGTTATTAAGTACGGGATTTTAAACTAGTTACTCCGTATCTTAGTAATTTTTATATATATAATTACTAAGTATACTTTCTTTATAAAGATTATAAGAGGGGTATATATTAAAAGGAGTTTAAAGTACTTTTTTATAGGTATATAAAATACTTAATTAGATATATATTAAAAACGTATAACCTATATAGGGTCTAAGTACCCGTGCTTAAGTAAGTATTTATTATAAAAAATATTAAGTTTAATAAAAAAGTCTTTTATAATCCTATATACGAGGAGTAAGCTATTATAAGTAAGTAAGTAAATCTAGTAATTTAAAAAATATAAGAACTCTTTAATACTAATAATAAGCTAGTTCGAGTACTTAAAAAAGTAGATCTAGACTTTAAAAATACTAATATTTAAAATAACTTTATAATTAAGAATAATATTATTATTAAATTTTTAACTATTTAAGA